ACTGTTCAAAACTAATAGCATAATTGGAGGTAATGTGCTATACTTAGATTTCATGACTTGCAGTCTAATAAGGTAGATGGAGGAAGGCTGTAAACACCTACGGTGGGAAAGTACCTTCTTTGAAAGGTTGCTTTGAGTTACACTAATGCATTGTTGATTCCTATTTTAGCCAAAGGTTTAACTTTAAACTGTTTCTAATATTAGCCATGTCTTCTTATTGCAGATGCTTTCAGAGGAGGAAAGTTGATCTATTTTAACAATTTAATGGTTGCTATGGATATTTGATAAGAGCGTTGTAACTGTTAAATTCATCATCGCTAAATTGTGTGCAAAATTTTAACCTGGTAGTGGTGGGAAATACATTTTTATATCTTCAAATGGAGTTTTCCATATTCTTTGCTAGTTCTGTAGCCCAATTCTAGCTGAAATTTTTGGCTAAACAACTTAGCACCTTTTATTTCAAATTTGTCTACATTCAAATATTGTCTATAAGGGAAACCAAACCTTTTGTTGCGTTAAGAATTGGTGGAGACCCTCCCTGGTGGCACAGCGAGTTAAAGCACTGCACTACGAAGCTTAAGCCGCTTCCTCATGAGTTCGATTCCCACCTGCCCCGGAGGTGACCCACATGGCGCGGCAGACCTCTCCTGACCCGCCCGCTGCTCCCCTCAGCAGTGTACTTCGTTGATCTGCCTGTTCTGTTCCCCACTCTGTCTCTGGTGAAGCCTCTCGCCGCCCCTAAGCCTCTGGCCTGTACCCCAGTTCTGTATGCACAAATAAATAAATCTTAAAAAAAAAAAAAAAAAAGAATTGGTGGAGGCAAAAAGGAGACGATATGTGATCAAGTAGAAAGAAACAGCCAAAGCCAAGGCCCAGGCCTGCTTCTGACACTGCTCTGGCTAGCCTGGGTCAAGCCTGTCCCTGGCTGAGCCTGTTGGCCCATCTGAAGGACAGTGCTCCTGTCAGCCCCAGAGGATTGTTGTGAGAATTAAATCATAGGTGTAGAACACATGGTCCGTAATATGCATGCTGTAGGTTTTTGTCCCCTTCCTTTAAGACATATAATTTAACTTTCCCTTCTGCGTTACTTAGTTCTTTGATAATGTGACATATAACTACTCTCACATACTGGTTTGCAGTATCTGAGCATTTGAATATTGGATGTTCCACTTAGAGTGTTCTATAATATTCTTCAATTCTATGCATTTTGTTACCTCTATCAGCAACTTCAAGAAGTAGGTGTAAGTACCCTATGTTCATTTAGCACTTACCCCCGTGGTTGCACTGACACTTCATAAAAGCATGACACAAAAATACTAGAACTATCATTTATTCATCTAGAGATTTCATTTTACTGATTCCTAGTATTGACATAGATTGCCTGCCGGGGTCCGTGTGACAGCCGCAGTATCCCAGCTATTATGATGGAAAGGATAGTAGTTGGTTCTTGACTTAAGGACTTGACATTTCACCTTTTCATTCATTTTAAGTTTATTTTAATGTATATGAGTCATGATTATAATATCTAGATTCAATACAATAACCCCTCACAAAATGGAGCAATAGTATGGTTCCTGCAAAAGAACCACAAATTAAAGAATTGTAGGCAATACAATATTATAATTATATATATATATATATATACCTATAGTATATGCGAGTACATATACATAAATATACTGATAATTGTAGTAGATGCTTATATACTATGTATCTATACTATAGACATAGACATATATGCTATAGACATACTATAAGCATATGTCTATACTATATGCATAGAGTGTACTTACAGTATAAATAAGTATGCATAGTATATATAGTAAGTATATATAATACATATATACTATAAGATTAGTTAGATATGCTATATACTTATATATACTATAAGTATACGCAGGCATATCTCTGAGATACTGTGAGTTTGTTTCCAGACTATAGCAATGAGACAGTTATCACAGTAAGCAAGTTACATGAACTCTTGGCTTCCCAATGCATATAAGACATATTCTTCACTGTAGTCTACTAAGCTTGGAGTAGCATTATGTCTAAAAATCTCTGTACATACTTTAACTAAATGTGACACATGAAGTGACCACTATTGGAAAAATGACATTGATAGACTTTAATACCTTCAATTTTTAAAACACACACACACACTCCTGCAAAGCACACAATGAACTGTTAGGCCCTTTCTTCTAGAATAAATGCTATATTACAAGATAAACATCATGATGAACTAGTCAAACCTCACAAGAAATGCATCCATAAAAGTTATCAAGAAAGCTATTTGTATTATGGACTTAAATCTACCATAATAAACAATACATCTTACTGTGAGCCATATTGAATTTGCTGATGAATATGTGAAGCCTTTGTGATGAGCAAAGTTTGATTTGTGCAGTATAAAAATTACTCAGATTATTTTTAATGGTATTTTGATAAATATAAAAAAGTGTTTTGTATCTAGCTATTTTTAAAATCTAGTTTTTCATCTCCTTTCATAGAGTGTATGTGTGCATATTTATGTAAATAATTAATGCTATAGTATATGTTACATAATTTATAAAAATATACTTTGTAAGTATACCCTCCCTTTTTTGCTTGTAGGCATGTACCATAAAAAAAAAATTACTAAAGAAAGTATACTTAGAGGGGACTACATCAAACTAAAAAGCTGCTGCAAAGTCAAAGAAACCATATTAAAATAAAAATAGAATTTATCGAATGGGAGGAAATATGTGCAAACCATATATCAGACAAGGGATTAATATCCAAAATATACAAACAATTTGTTTAACAACAGAGAAACACATGACTCAGTTAAATGGGCAAAGGATGTAAATAGGCACTTCACCAAAGAAAACCACAGATGACCAATAGATGCATGAAAAGATGCTCTGTGTCACTTATTAAGGAAATGCAACTGACAACCCTGTGTACTGTTGTGAGGCTGTCAGTTGATACAGCCACTGTGGAAAATTAAAAAAGTTAAAACTAGAACAACCTTATAATCTAGTAATCCCACCTCTGGGTATTTAACTGAAAACTAGGAAAACACTAATTCAAAAAGATACAAGTACCCCTGTGTTCATTGCACTATTCACAGAGACTCAGATACAGTAGCAACCCACATGTTAGTGTATACACATGGGATGTATACACTATAGATATTACACTCAGTCTTTAAAAAATGAAATCTTGCCATTTGCAATAGCATGTATAGACTTTGAGGGGTTGTGCTAAGTGAAATCCGTCAACAAAAGAAAAACAAGTACTGTACTATTATACTCATTTGTGCAGTCTAAAGAAAGAAAGAAATGAACAAAGCAAAACAAACCCTTAGACTCTGGAAACAAAGTGGTAGTTACCAGAAAGTAAGGGAGGAAGTTGGTCAGCATTGGTTGATGGTGGAGATGACTGGACATTTGTTAGTAAACATGGTGATGTATAGTCACTGAGATGAGAAAATGTACTCCTGGGTCCTATACAGATAATATTACCTCAGTAAAAGAAAAGGGAAATTGGCCCCCCTGGTGGTGCAGCAGGTTAAAGCACAGCACTAAAAAGCTAAAGCCACTTCTGCATGAGTTCGATCCCTGGCCAGGGAGCTGACCCACATGGCACAGGAGACCTCTCCTGACCCAACTGCTTTCCCCTCAGTAGTGTACTTCGTAGATCTGCCTGTTCTGCTCCCCACTTTGTCTCTGGTGAATCCTCTCACCATCCCTGCACCTCTGGCCTGTACCCCAGTTCAGTCTGCATAAATAAATCTTAAAAAAAAAAAAAAGAAAGAAAAAGGAAATTAAAACAGTTGGGATCTCTCTAGCCTGAGATCTGACTGGTGGCCAAATCTCATAGAGACTGGTGTAAGAAGTCTCCAGCCAGGCCATGGAGCCGCTTCGCAGCTGTTTCTGATGATCAGCCACCTTTGAGAGCTGTTCCTTGTCTACATTTTCTTACATTGTAAGCCAAAAAATAATCCATAGTAAAATGTCCGCTTTTAGTAAATGTCAGAAAGAGAAAAACACATACCATATAACTCAAGTATATATAAGATCTTTCTCTCCCTTTCCATTGACATTTTTCACTTCTTAGAATACATTTTTAACTGATCAGTTCTTATGCTATAAAAATGTTTGGTCAAAGAAGAGAATTTTATGCATAGTTACTAGATTGAATCATATGAAGTTGCCAATATTCAACAGTTTTTACCTACAAAAATGCCACTTTATATGGTCAACCAATTTTTTGTCCCAGAAAACTATGTTTATGTCTAGAACCTATAAGGAAACTTACACAAAAGGGAAATATCTATTTTGCAACTTTGTTGTTGCATATTATAAAACAAAATGTTAATGTAAATATTATAGTATGTGTTCTTTTTTATGATGTGTTTGTCCTCAAGGACAAGCCTTCTTTTAAAAAGTCTTGGTTTATTTTGTGGGGAATTAATTATATTAAACCTGGACACTATGGATACTTATTGGACTTTGGGCAATGTTCCTTCTAAACCAGTTCACTTCCAAGTGTGCCGTGAAATGAGGCAAAAGTAAGTTTACTGTTGATTATCCCTGATGATTAAGGATAAGAGTGTTGTGGATAAACTAAATTAATAAATAATCTCCAAAATCATTTTGGCCATTAGCTTCCAATTCCTTTTCTAGTAAGTTTCATATTGACATTAGCTTCAGCTTTCTCTTCCCATCTTGTGATGGGTACCACGCTAAGTGAAATATAAATGCAAGGTAAAGCAGTACAGGAAAGCGCAGAATTCAAGAGCCTCCTTAATTCACAGAATAGATAATCAGCCCTGAATATTCACAGGTTGGCTTGGATTCAGTTTTCATAGCCTATATAGAGCAGACTGCACTTAGGAGGCTAGTGAGTTAAAAGCCAGGTCTCTCTGAGAAATGGAATTATGATCATTTGACTGCCATGTGACAAAGGCATCTTAAAATAACATCCAGTGGTTTAAAAAATAACATTTTATATTCCAGGTGATCACCTTCTTCAGCTCAAGGTTGCTTCAAGCTGGAGCTGAGCTGTCAGTGGAACGAGTCCTGGAAATCATCAAGCAAGGGGTTGTCGCCCTGCCCAAAGACAGACTGAAGGTAAGCCTGGTGAACAAAGCTTACTGCTGTCACCTGGTGTGTCTGAGCAGGCTCTATTCAGAATTACACCACTTACCAGAAAAGACTCCTTAAATACTGCCTTTCTATTATCTACTGATACATAGACCTGTGATGAAGGGAGAGTCTGACATACTCAAAAGTGGACAGTAAAAGAATCACTTGTCATCTTCATACCACTGGATTCCCAATGAGTATCCATTCTATGTACTGCAAGGAATTCATAGACTGTGAATAAAGAACACCATATTTTACTAACCTGGTGAAATTAATATCACAAAGGCTCATGGGAAGTTGATGAAGGTAATGCTGATGATCGCTACCATAGCTAACATGGTGTTTACTTGGTGCTGTCTAGGGTTCTGTGTGGTTTACCCTTGGAAGTAGAGCTGTTACACTGATTTTTCAGATGAGAAAACTGATGGACTAAGAGGTCAAGTCACTTATGTGAAGCCATAACTGGGACATTCCTATGCTGGCAGTCTGGTTCCTGTGTTTTTGTTTGCTATCCCCTCTGAGTCTTCCCCCACCCCCACTCCCCATATACTACAGGCTTAGGTAGAGGATGAAAAGAGAATCATATCATGAAGAAGTAGGGTAAATGCTGACATTTGTGTTAGATGTATTCAAGAAGTGACCTCATGATATAAAAGGTCATACTTCAAAGCTGATTTTTCTCATTGGAAAAGAGAAAATGTTTTGGTGGGGAAGTCCATGAGTATATAGCATTGCAGTCTAGTTTTACTTGGATACTTCATTTTAGTTTCTCTTCCATTATCTCTCATTTATTTTGAAGGCTTGTTCCTACGATGTTTGGCCTTCAATGTTTTATCATAACTAACTTCTGCTCTAAAGTTGAAGGGCTGTGTTTTTCAGCACTATCACTGCAACCACTGCTCACTGAATGCTTAAGAGATACTGTTTTGTAGGATATGAAAATATTTTCAGTTATCACAACAGGGTTGGTAAAACAACAGCACATTAGTCATTGTAATCACTTAGAAAATTCCACCATACATAATAGCAGTGAGGCTAATCCAGGGCTGAGCGAAGACGGTAGGGTTTCTGTTTATCAGCTAAAATGGCACCACCAAGTGGCAATAGTGAAAAAACTGATTATAGTTCACCAGACCCTCCAGCTTTGACTTTAATCTTGACAGTTCTTTCAGAGTAGAGAATTCCTATTATTTCCATTCTTATATAAAGTAAGACATTGTAGTATTTTTTACTTGCACTATTTTAAGTTGAATTGAATTAACCATGTGAATCAGCACAATAATGCATAGAGACTGAAGTGGCTTCTCACAGGAAGTGGTGGGAATTGGCATCTTAGCTAACTCAAGAAAGAAGTCAAACTATTGGCAGATGGAAGGAAAAAAGATAGTGCAGAGGCATCAGGAGGGAGGTTTTGATGAGCTCAAATAATCAGCATAGTGGAAATAATGGTGATTGAGATTAGCAAGCAGTATATTTAAACTGAAGGTGTTAAAAGTAGATCTCAGTGATAGCATGGCCCGGATTGGGCCATGATTCAGGGGACTGAAGTGATGAGGGATGTGAATGAAAGTCTGTGATTGAGCCAACTAATGAGCTGGAGGCCAAGGATGGACATCATAGTCATTGGGAATGGTAAACCCTGGGGTGGAAAGAAAAGCTGTGAGCCAAGCACTACAGCAAATAGTCTAGGACAATGGCCTGAGAGTCAATAGGAGACAACGACTCAGAAGAGAAGCTGCTACCAGCCTCGTGGGAGCAGAGCTTTTTAGAGGCAGAGGAATCATCGTCAAGAAACAATGAAAGCAAAGAGGCCCCCACCCTACCTCCAGACCCGAAGGCCAAGGCTGTGCATTGTGAAAGAGGGAGCTGCCTCCGCTTGCAAAGGCTCCCGGAGAACAGGGGAGGGAGAACAGAGTCAGTGCAGGGTTTTCAGATGACCAGAAAATAATCACTGTGGGGTTGGAAGATGTCACCGTGGGGGGTGTGAGGAAAGAACAGCAGGTTGGGTCAGAGGAGAGAAAACACAAAGCAGTAGGGACAAGAGTGTAGGAGAGGCTGGCTGACTGGTCAGACTTGTGTTTGAGGTAGTCACCAATAGTGAGGAAGACAGGTGACGCATTAGGGTCAAGCCCACCCCCTAGCACTGAATAAATCAAGCAGCTACTCATTGACAGCCACCGATCCAGGTGCTTGGGCACATCAGTGAGGAGAGGTTCCTGCGCACACCCCACTGACAAGAGACTGAAGTGTACTAGTGCTTGATAGCGCTCTGGAAAACAACGAGCTGGCTAAAGGGGCTCGGGAGTGTTGGTGAGGGTGTGGCAGGAGAAAGTTGTGGAGTTATGAAGAATGGTCTAGGCAATATTTAGCAAAGGTAAAAGGTAAGAGAGCTACGTGGGCCTAGGAGAGGAGAGTCCCAGGCATTAATGACAACCACAGACAGATAGGCCCTAAGCCGGAAGGAGGCCAAGTACATTGAAGAAGCAAGGAGACCAAAGCAGCTCAGATTGGGTAAATGAGGGGTGAACAAGATGAGTGGGGACGGAAAAGTGTGCTGAAGTGGGGAGCTATGACTGGACTTGAGCCATGGTGGTCGGTGGAAATGCTGACCGAATTAGAGGGAACGTCTGGTGGGAGAGGGGAGCACTTCGGCCTCCTAGGAGACAGCTTCAGTCCATGTTAATTACAAAAGCTCCAGGGAGCTGGTGTGGCAAGAATACAGGTCTCAGGGCCGCGTCGAGAACTGGTCTTGAAGTACTGAAAGAGTTGTTTATGGAAGTGGATTTGGATATGGTCCATGTGGTCTCCAGAACAACTTTCAGATGTCGCTTGGCCGAATCTGTTGTGGTCAGAAACCTGGCTCTGCTCTGCTGACTGCTGTGTAGTCCGACAATGGATGTGGCCCACTATGCTCTCAGTGGATCGAGGCGTCTGAACGAGACATTTTGGGGGTGCTACACCTTAAGACAATCTGGAAAACGTTCAGAGAATCACCAAAATTGTGAACGTGGAGTGATTAGAAAGCACACTGTTGATATTAGTCATAAGGAGACAACATTTGGGCAGAAGAGACTTGTCTTTGAGTGCTGGGAGAATTGTTTACAAAAGGAGATTTGGACATGTTTTGTGAGTTCTCAGGAATAAGACCATTTCATAGACACTACATACAGGGACCTGCATTTCAGTCCCATAAAAGGAAGAACTTCTAACAGATGGAATTATTTAGAGACAGGGTAGGCAACTTTGGGAAGTGATGCATTCTCTGTCGCTGGAGATGCTGAAGTAAGAGACTGGTGGCCACTGCAGGGCTCCAGATAGGTTCCATCTTGGGTGCAGCTCTGATCCGTTGGTACTAGGCTGCTGGTGTAGCAAATGGAGAAGGATTCTCAGGCAGGATTGAGATCTGTCACTGATGCCTGCTCATAGGAGCAGAGAGTAAGACATTTATGTGCAACTAGTTGCATTCCAGTTGTAAAGTCTCAAGTATTCATTGAGAAACCCAGCTGTGTGACTTTGGGGAGGAGAGGAGAGCAGCATGGGGAGGGGGCACAATAGACTGTGGTGGAAGGCTGGTGCCTTGGTGATGGGTGTGTTGTGGTAACATACATGGAAGGAGTGTGATGCCTCTAAGTCACAGTGTGGTAAATCTAGGTCACCTCAATAAAAATAAGTGAACACACTTAAAAAAAAAAAACACTTTTCCATTCCTAAGAGTATAATTCTGTCTATACACATACAAATATTGTTCACTACAAAGCAGGAAACTATAAAATTTCAGTGACAGTTTTCTCTCTTAGAAGATGACAGAAACAGTAAGGAGAAATTGTTAATCCAGGGATGTATTTTTAAGAGAAATGGCTCATTAATGACAAAGAAGTCACCTTTCAGTTCATAATAAGAGAGGGCAGTCAGAGCTGGATGCTGACAGAAGCATACATTACCAAAAGTTGGATGTGATTCATTACAAAGAAAAATATGATCCAAGAGGGATTGAAAGCTTTAAAAAAAAAAAATGTGTTAACTCTCCAATTACCGACTGTCCTATGCAAACAGGTTGGAGAACTGTAGTTGTAATCAGTTATCTGTTACTGACTGCATCCTCACCTCCCTCTTCTCCAGTCTCCTCTACGTCACAGATTATAAATCCTTTCTACTTGTGCTGTACAGAGTGAGTTCTGTGTTCCCTACTAAACCTGTCAAGAAAGTAAAGCCCCCAATTTCAAACAGAAAGGAATTTAATAGAGGGAATTCAAAAATCTTTGAAAGGATTAAGAAAGCCACGTACAGGGAAAACTACTGCTGACTCAGGAAATCGGAAGAGGCAAGAAATGACATCACCCCGATCTGGCCTGTGTGCATTACCCTTAGTAAGGGTCTGCAAAAGGATTGCTAAAAGCAGCAGGCAACACCACCGCTGCAGCCCACAGAGCTGCCCACCAATGCTACCAGAGTAACAGTGACCCTGGTTTCTCTGCTACCTTCTCTGATACATTGCCACGATTGCCCCCAAGTCCCTGCTGGTGATATTGTAGGAAGGGTAGTTCCCACCCTTTGGGTCTGCATGCAGGGGAAAGAGTGCAAGGGGGAAAAGGTGCTTGAGTTGGCGCCGAGCAATGTGGTATAAGACTGCAAGAAACCAAGGAAGCAGTCTGAGAAGCCCCTTCACATGCATGGGTTTTTATGAGGCTGTACACAAAGATAGAGTCGTGCGCAGAGAGGCAAGCATTCGCACAGATGTTGTCAAGAGACTCAAATTAGGAAAGGACTTTGATCCTCTGCAAGGAGAAAGCAAAGGAAAGAAGTTGAATCAATCAAGACAGGTATGAGTTCAAAAAAGAAGTGTTTTCCGAACTTGTATTAGTTACATGGGATGATTCCAAAGATGTCCTATAATTCTTAAGAGTCTAGAATTCTATGTTCTAACGTTCCATGAAAATTTTTTTGGAGACCACTGCTCCAGCAACTTTCTCTGCCCCTTAAAAACT